CCTCTGCTATAAGTGAAACCATCTGGTATTTTTCCTTTTCTTTTTGGCTTATTTCACTAAGCATAATCTTTTCCAGCTCCATTCATGTTGCTGCAAAAGGCATTTTTTTTTGGTTGCTGAGTAATGTTCCATCGTGTATATGTACCACATCTTTTTAATCCTGTCATCCACTTTTAGGCATTTGGGTTGTTTCCATGTCTTTCCAATGGTAAATCAGCAATAAACATGGGGGTGCAGGTGTCTTTTTGATTCAGTGTTTTTGTGTCTTTTGGGTAGATACCTGGGAGATGGATTGCTGGGTCCTATGGAAGCTCCATGTTTAACTGTTTGCGAAACCTCCAAGCAGTTTTCCAGAGTGGTTTTACTAGTTTGCATTCCCACAGCAGTGCAGCAGAGTTACTTTTCCTCCACATCCTCGCCAGCAAATGCCGTTTCTTACCATCCCCCTCTCTCAGGCTGAGCTGTCTGAGAAAGGGGGGTGAGCTAGGTTCTGTCTTTAGGAGCAGCGAGGGGAGAGGGGCCTTGTGATCTCTGGGACTCTCTCAGGTCAGTTATTTCCAATAGCGGGTTGGTGATGACACAGCTGCAAACTATCATTCTTCATCAACCTCATTCAGCGGGCAACTTGACCACATGCCTGCTAATTCCTGGACACAACTCCCGTGAATCCCGGGCCCTCGTGCACTTGAGTCTTGTTCATGATGAGCAAAACCTGCAAAGCGACGCTGCTGACTCTGACACCAGCCGTCGCTGCGATACCGCTCCCATCTTGCTTCCTTGGCCACTCGACCATGGCGACGTCTGGCTCTCCAAGGAGACAGGTACAAAAGCTCAGGCTGTGCCAGGGTCCCCGGGGAAGGAGAGTCCGGGTTCCCTGCCCCACCCAAGGGAGGGCGGAGCTGAGCAGGGAACAGAATCCAGGGGGGAGGGGGGAAGAAGATGGAGAAGACCACCTGGAGGAGGCCCCTGGAGCATACATGGGGGGAACCTGCCTTGCTTCTCGGCCTTGGTCATGCACCAAGGATTTCAACACCATGAGACAGAGCCCTGGGCGAGAGACAGAGCCGCGGGCGAGAGCCACGGGAAGGCTGATTATGGCATCTCTATACCTTGCTTTGATTTTGCTCTTTTCCTTCCAGTCTTCTCTGCCCCTCTCTGCCCCTCTCCTATGGGTTCTCGCGAAAGCACCTTAAACTTGTGACAGGTTTTTGGGCCTCAGGGTCCTGCTTTGGGCCAAGCCTGTCTGCTGGGCACTTAACCACGAGGGCATGGATCAGTCTGGGTGTTCATTTGGAAACGATGTTAACTATATTCTTTTCTCAGTCGAACGCTCATTCTGTTGGAGTCATCTTCTATTGAAGTTCTTCCACACTAGAGTATATTTGTCTTATGTGGCAGATGGCAGAACCTATTTATAGGGGACGGGTTTGGGGGTCCCAGGGTACCCTCCCCCTGGGGGTCCCAGGGTACCCTCCCCCTGATAAGGGGGCATGAGCAGTTACCGGGTGCTGTGGTTGGCTGTCCCAGCTGAGGGTCTAGTCAGCAGCTGGCACTCATTGCTGGTGTCTGTGGGCACCGTCCTGTGTGTCAGCCCATGCGAGCCGACCCACGTGAGCTTGCCCATGACGGCCCA